ACATTGGCAACACTGCATGTAACTGGTTCACAAAACGGGGGGGGGGTGTTGGGGAAATGCAAGGTGGATGTAGGGAAGTCCCTGGGCGGCATGGACCCGAGTCCCCAAACGCCAGGTGGGTGGGCAGCACGAGCACTGGCTCCAGCTGCCCAGAGTCCCTGGCTTCAGGCCGGTCCCCACTAGCCCCAGCCTCAGCCCAGGGCAAGGGTGCCAGAGTCCTCCCAAAAGTGGGGGGAGCCAGGTGCCCCCGCCCCTCTGCCCGAGGTGGAGGCAAAAGCAGCCCCCTGCCTGTGTCCCAGGTCCCCAGCCTCAGGCTCCCAACAACTGCCCACACAACTCTCCCCGACCCAACTCCGGTCGGGGCCCTTGGAGCCAAAGCCTGGCCATGATAAGAGCTGGGCAGGCAGCTGTGGCACACCCTACACCTGCCCGCAGTGTGGGTGGTTTGAGCAGCCCCTGGCCTGTGTCCCTGCCTCCCAGGTCCCCTGCCCAGGGCAGGTGGTGCCTTGGGGGCAAGAGGAGGGAAAGGGGGCTTTGAAGCACATGGGATTCAGTGGTTCGGTTCCTTCACAACCAATGGGTGTCAGTCAGAATGTGGACTGGGCCACGTTTGAAAAAAGATCATTCAAGGATTAGGGACTTTATTTTGTTAAACCTGAGAGATTTTTTTTTTTGTGGGGGCAGGCACCTCATTCAGCTCTGGCAAAGAAAATAGATTCCTAGATTCCAAAGCCAAAAGGAACCACTGTGATCATCTGGTCTGACCTCCTGTGTGACACAGGCCAGAGAACTTCTCCAAAATAATTCCTAGAGCATATCTTTTTTTTTTTTTTTAAAGCCAGTCTTGATTTTAAAATTTGCCATTTGCTTTGATTCTTTATACTATGCTTAGAGCTTTAAACTTACTGTGCCATCTCAGAGATCATGCAACTTCCAGAATCCTCAACTTCAGGCCTCTGCTCCTCTCTTCAGCCAGTTAAACCACTGGCTAGTGGCTTAGGGCAGAGAGTGGTATGAGATATCTTCTTCCCTCACTGGAGCTGTGACTGTGAAATTGCACTGAGGCAGGAGAAGGGACAGTAGAAGGGAACAGGAAGCCAAACGACCAGACATGAACTGCTTAATTTTAGAGTGGGAATTATACTAGAGTGTTTTCTCTTTGGCATTCTATTGTCAGTTAGATTCTTACCTGAAAACAAGCTTTGTCCCTCTCTCAAATCCACCCCCACCATTTAAATGTTGGTGTGATTCCTGCTGCCTTGTCTCCCGCTGCTGAGGAAAAAACCTGGAAAATGAAAGCCTGTTATACCAATAAAATAAAAACCAGTAGGATCTTATTAAAGGGAATAAGGCAAAATGCCACATTTATTGTGAATACAGAAAGAATCATAGTAAGCAGTTAGTTATAGCTATAACATTCCATTCAATTTCATATTTATTCACACATTCATTCATATACACACACACACACACAGGTTCTGCAAGGTTGTTATCATAGTTACTAGCCTTAGAGTTGCACATGCCAAGCCACTGGCCAGGTGGCCTGGACATGAGGAGGGAGCGGGGCCTTGTCAGGTGTTCATCTGATGCTCCTGGAAGTTGGTTTGCAGAATCAGACCCCAAAGTTCTCACTTTCTAGAGTCCATTTTTATAGGAATTTCTTCCTATGCCAGTCTATGGGAATTGCTTCATCATGCTGTTGCTGAATCAATCAGCAGATGTCACATTCCTGACGGCTCCGTGCTGCCAGATGTTATCTTGTTCTTTAGTTCTCCCATTCTTGAGGCTGTTGGGTGGATTCCAGCCTACCCTCCGTGGGTCCTCTGGTTGTTTCCACTTGATGCCTTCTTCGGCTGATGGACACTGGATTCTTAGGCTGGCACCTCCCTGATCATCAGTTATTAACCACACCAAGCATCCATCCACATACATCCTCTATCTCTATTTTAATCACAATTGTTAATACAATAAAAGGGCGGGGAGTCTCTGGGTGCTGTTTCTGTTGTTAGAGTATTGCTTTGAGTCTCTCTCTCTGTGTGAGTAGTTGTTGTTAGAGTATTGCTTTGAGAACAGACTCTGTTTTAGGATGTACTAACACAATTAGCAACTTGTAAGTTTCACACAGAGAGGGAGAGAAACAGTAAAACCAAGAGACCAAAAACCAAGAGACCTCTTAATTAGTAATACCCTGGAATTTAAATTATGGGGAATCAAACTCATTTGTGGTTTTTAATACAGAACTTCTTTAATATGATCCAACAAGCCTTGATGTTTAAATCCAGACAAACTGTTTTTTAATAGAATTTACTTTTTAACTATGAAACTGTTTCTACTTATCCTATGAAACTTCCTCTAAGGACCTCTCCAATAATCTCTGTTTAAAAAGGGCCACACTAAGGTCCCCCCTACCCCTATGACTTCAGTACAGTTTAATTTGAAATTCAAATCTCTACCTTTGCTAGATAACTGTTTAAATGAATTGCTTTTCCTGGTCTTTGAGGTGATGGGTGTGTGGCAAGCAAAATGGCTGTTACTTCCCTTTAGCTTTAATTTTTTGCCTAGGTTACTCAGAATATCCAGTTTCCTAATGTGACTGTCTGAAATGTCCTTTCCCAGACCCCAACAGGGTTAGAGCAGCGATGCACAGTGCCTAGCAAACAAACTGACAATTTTGTCCAAGGGGGTGAGGTAATTTCTTTTATTGGACCACCTTCTTTCTCTCTCTCTCTTTCACTAACAGAAGTGGGTCCAATAAAAGATATTATCTCACCCACCTTCTCTCTCTGATATCCTGGGACCCACATGGCTGCCACACTGCATACAGTTTTATCTGTCACACGTTGCTGTCAGGCCCCACCAACCTTCCTCCTACAGACTGTGTGTGCACCACAGTTCTCTCCTTCCACACCTCCACCTGACTAGGCAGTTGGACGCTTATCCTTCTTGGTAGCTACAAAGTACAGCTAGCTCACTCATACTGAAATGGTGCATACAGTGATCTGTTGCAGATGTAAGTTGAGGCTCCAAAGATGATACAATCTGAAAAGGAACTAAAATTTTTAGATTGTTTTAAGTTTAATCAAATGTTTTGGTGAACCTTGGTTGAGTTAAAACTTGAATGAGAAGGCAGACTTCTAAAAAGGAAAGTACGCACTCTTAGTGTGATCCCGTGTTTGGTCTTTTTGTCTTCCCCCACCTTATCCTAACTAAGCTCCTTCAGGAGGGAAATGGGGAACCCTTTTGAAGTAAGATGGGGAGGACAGGATTACTTTATCTTCAGGGTATGTATGCAGTGTTGTTGTAGCTGTGTGGGTCCCAGACAGACAAGGCTGGGTGAGGTAATATCTTTATTGGACCAACTTGTGATTGATGAGAGAGACAAGCTTTGGAACTTACAGAGCTCTTCTTCAGGTCTGGGAAACTTACTGTGTCACAGCTAAATACAAGATCAAACAGATAGTTTAGCATAAGTAGTTAGCACATATTCTAGTTAACACATATTCTAAAGGACGATTCAAGGTGAAGTGTCCAATTATAGCCAAATAAAAATGATTAACGTATTGAGAAATGTTCAGTGCTAATTAGCTGGAGGGGGTGACTTGCATAAACTATTCTTATGTGTTTTTGGGAGTCTCTCTCTGTTCATTATAGTTTATCATTTTAAGCAGAAAGTCAATGGTGGAGAGGGTCTAGTTTGAAAAAGACAGACCATTTGCTTGTCATCTGGATGTTCTAAATCATTTTATATTGCAGTATACCCAGAACGTGCCAGATGCTGTGTGAGTATATAAGAAGCCAGGCCCTGCCCCAAAGTCTTTTTTACTGAAACAAGTCAATACATGCAAGGTAGGGAAGAGAGAAACAATATACAAGCAAAGTGGTCATGGTGGTGGTAAGCACAGGTTTTATTATCATATGCTCCTTGATATATATATATTTTGTTGTGACTGTATAAACTATCCCCTTGCACTCTATCTTGCCAATATTAGTTGGCTAATTTCTTGTAGTAGTGGTTCTTAGGGATTTAATATAAAATATTAGAATATGAACCAACTAATTTTAATGAAGGTGAGGCTTTAATTTCAACAAGAATTAAGACCCATTCCAGCACATCATGTTTGTGATTGAGTGTAGGTACTCGAGCTATAGAGAAACAAATGTGTGCTCTGCTCTATCATAAAAAGGTGCTGAAAGGGATGAGATGGTGCTTTTGTTTTCCATATTCAGCAAAATCACCAGTGAGCACTGTAAAAATGGCAGCTGCTACACTGTAAAACGAGAAATGCTGCATCTCTACGTATGGTGGTCCTACATATGCTAACATGCAGTAGGGATTCAGGACGTATGGAAATATACAGCAAACTTTTCTGAGCTTCTTGCATTCATATGAAACCAATGCCCACATTGTCTGCAGCTGGCCCCTGTATGATTAGACACCCACTGAAACCTGTATTGTGCTAGCATGAGTCTTCCAGCCAGTGGCTAACAGTTCTGAGCAGCGTTAACTTTCCACATGCTTACTGTAATAACACATGGCGTTTTCCAAGGGTAGCATATTGAGTACCCAGGCTTTTCCATGTGGCTTTTCTTAACTGCTCGGGTCCACACTCGTTTATTTGTAGTTCAGTGCGCTGGTATTTTATGTGCTTGATTAGCGTACTAAATGAACAGCTTTGGGCTTTGCTTAGACTTCTGAGGCAGGTTTACAATGAAGTTATGTGTTGCAGTGTATTTAAGCTTTGTTTCCCCTAAACTTGACATACTTTCTCCAGGTTGCCTGGATAAGTTAAGTACTGTTCGTATTTTCAAAAGACCAAGGTCCCTCAAACTGTCTCTACCTTTGACAATTCCTTTCTCCTCCCTCCCCGTGACCCCCCCCCCCATGCCCTTGACAGTTTTGGAAAACAAGGGTAAGTTTTTCTCTTGGAAAGCACTTAACATATTGTGGCTAGTGCAAAGAAACACATAACTAATAGTAATGCTTATTGTTACACCTACAGGTGCTACTTCAGATTTAAGCATAGGAGCTATTTCCTTGAACCGTTCCTTGCAGGATATCTTCATGCTTCCTGTAGATGTGGAGAAGGTGAGAGCATTGCAGTTATGGATCTATTGTGCCAATATTCTAGTGCAGAATAATCACTTATGAATAATTACACTTGATTGTTTGCTAGTCAGTCTACGTAGAACTGATTCCGTCTGATTGGCTTTAGAAGAACAAACTTTAGTGATGCCAAAATTAGTCTTTTACAACTTGCTGTTTTTCTTTTTTTATTCTGTTTTAGGATGAGCATTTGTACAAATTAAAATTCAGCCCAAGCTTTTCAATATTGCCCCTTCTACACACCCTCCTTTCACTCACTTCAGGGAGTGTAATACTTTAAAGATACTCCCTTTTCATTCCAAACATTTTCCAAACAATGTTTTCCCCTTTCCTATACCTCCATTTTATCTACATTATTTCATGCTATTCTGTGAAAGTATAGCACAGGATTTGTTTTGTGCTAGTGTTATGTGAAGGAGTAAATAACACTTCCTTATTCACTTTATCCACACCAGTCAAGATTTTATAGACCTCAATCATATCCCCTCCTAGTCATCTCTTTTCCAAGTGGAAAAGTCCCAGAGTTTTTAATCGCTCCTCATATGGAAGCTGTTCCATACACCGAATCATTTTTGTTGCCTTTTTCAGTACCTTTTCCAATTCTAATATATCTTTTTAGATGAGGTGACCAGAACCACATGCAGTATTCAAGGTGTAGGCATGCCATGGATTTATATAGAAGCATTATCATATATTATGTCTTATTATCTAGCCCTCTTCTAATGGTTCCTAACATTGATAGCTTTTTTTGACTGCTGCTGCATTTTTAGCAGATGTTTTCAGAGAACTATCCACAATGACGCCAAGATCACTTTTGTGAGTGGTAGCAGCTAATTTAGACCCCATCATTTTGTCACCCTGCCTATCAGTGGCAAAGCAGGGAATAAAACTGAGGTCTCCTGAATTCCAATCCAGTGCTCTGTCCACTAGGCAGCACTGCCCCCTCTACACAAATGATCAGGAGGCTGTCATCTTAGAGGAAAGATCAAAGAGCTCAGTCATGATGAAAGGGAGAGGGGGAGAATATAACAACTATTAAAGGGTTCAGACACCAGGGATGGTACAAGGGGTTTAACTAGAAGTAATGGGATAAAACTAAGAGGGGGGAATTAGGATGAATATCAGGAGAGAACTTCCTGACAGTTGACCTCTATTAGACAACGGAGTCGTCTCCCGTGGGAATTGGTAGAAGATTGGACAAAGCACTAATCTACGTACTGAAAGTTACAATCCTGCCCTGGGAGGGAGAGGGAATAGATGACCTAATAGGTCTTCTCCACCTTTCTCCTATGACCCTGAGCTGTTTCCTGAAGGGAAGGAGCTCAGCGTATAAAAGGAAGGTGGCGAAAAAGGGGTGAGAGCAGAGTTCACGTAAATGGAGACTGTTTGCTTATATAAGTTCCTCAATATGCAAGAACCCACTTGGCAACACAAACTCTTGCAGGCAAGTTCTTAACCATTGGACATGGCACAAGTATTCTCAGGTCTGCCAGTGACCTGGTATTAACCCCCATTGAGAATCCATCAAACTTTCTCTGAATCACCTTGGTATCAGTATTTCCCCTCCAGGAAAAATTGGCTATTTAATTTTCTTTCCTTTGTTAATGGTATGTCCCAAAGCTTGTTGAATGGTTTCTGTGGGAAACTGTTAACAAAAGAAGTGGTGATAATCGAACATCATTTAGTTTAAGATAGTTTCTTCAGGCACCCATGTGAACTTCTTGAGACGTTACGTGAGGGCCTGTACTGTTGGGGAAATGCCATTTTATTGGACTTGTTTAGAAATAAAATCTGTTGTTCACCTCTTTCTCCTAAAGATGGTCAAAAAGTTGAAGAAATGTCTACTGTAGTTTTCATTTTTAATTGTTCTTAAGTGATGATAATTTAAGTGCTTATTACTACAGCTTCCCGTTACACTGCTGTGAAGAATGTTGTAATTACAACTGGTGCCATTTTTAGAGCATTAACTCAATTTGTTAGTGGACTATTTGATATCTACATTCACAAGTTGCAACATTAGACCCCGAGAGTATTTTTAAGCAATGAGCTTTCTTATTGGACCTTGAAGTTGCATGCAAGCAAGCAACTCCATAGTGGGAGCCAGGGGATCTGTGTTCCATTCCTGGCTTTATCAACAACTTCCTGGGTGATCTTTTGAGCTAGTCACGCAAGTTTCCATTTTCCCACCTGTAAAATGGGGTTAATTATACCTTGCAAACATTAAAGAATTAAGTCAGTGAGATAAGCAAGTGCTTTTGCACTTCTGTTATCATCCCTCATCTGAGAATCTCAAAGTAGTATTAAAGCCTGCCACACCTCACCAGTTCAAAATTAATATGCACACTAAAGTGTCTATATATACTTCACTCCTTTAATTAAATCCTAGTAAATATGCTACATGGTTTAACATATGCTTACTAAAATGTATGGGTAATCTTGGGAATATGCCCTTAAAAATGCCTAAATATACACACCTGCCAAGAGACTACTCAATTAAGCATTTGAAGTTTCTTCCTTTTGATTTCAGAGAGGGAAAGAAAATAAATGCAACAAATATTCTTTAAAAACATTAAGACCAACATAAATTGAGTTTCTTGGATACTGTACCTCTTACCCACATTATTTTATTTTAATTTCCAGCAGCTTCTTAAATTAAAGGCCACGTATGCTTTAAGTATGCATTCTTGGCTTGTTAATGTTGGGAAGAGAAGCTGACACTAATTACACTAATAAGTAAACTAGTAATAAACATTCCTCTTTTCTGTGCCCAGGAGAATGCACACTTCTTGGTTGCAGATATGATTATAGCATCTCTGGAGAAAATGAAGTGCAGTATCCTAAGTCAACAGGCAGAGCCCTGGAATGCAGAGGAAACCAGTGGATGGCTAGGCAGCTATCAGACTGATTCAGAAATATCCTCTTGTACCAGAGTAAAGACACAATCTGCTTCTTCTGCTTCTTCAGACAGTGGCTATGAAGGTAAGTTATTTCATTTTAGCCCATAATGTAACGCTTCTTGCCTGTCTTTGCCCAATTACCCTACAGGAAGAGTTGGGATGGGTGTTTCTCATAAGTGAATTCCCTGTCCTGTCTAATCTTCACTGACTCCCCAGACAGGCTTCAAAAACAAAAGGTCGCTTGTCCTATGATAGAGGTGGGCAAACTGCGGCCCGTGGGACCGTCCTGCCCAGCCCCTGAGCTCCTGGCCCGGGAGGTTAGCCCCTGTCCCCTCCCCCGCTGTTCCCCCTCTCCCACAGCCTCAGCTCGCTGTGCTGCCAGTGAGCTCTGGCCGGGAGGCGCAGCTGCAGAGCCGCTGCCTGACCCGGGAGGGATAGCTCAGTGGTTTGAGCATTGGCCTGCTAAACCCAGGGTTGTGAGTTCAATCCTTGAGGGGGCCATTTGCGATCTCTGGCAAAAATTGGGGATTGGTCCTGCTTTGAGCAGGGGGTTGGACTAGATGACCTCCTGAGGTCCCTTCCAACCCTGATATTCTATGATCTCTATGATTCTATGACCTCTGTGCTGCGTGGTGGTGTGGCTGGCTCCAGCCGGGCAGCTATCAGTGCTCCAAGCAGTACGGTAAGGGGTCAGGGACCGTTGGGGGTGGGGTGAGGTGTGAGGGTTGAATAGAGGGCAGGGGAGTTTGGAGTGGTGGTCAGGGGACAGGGGTCTGGATAGGGGTTGGGGCGGTCAGATGGTGGGGAACAGAAGGGGGGTTTTATAAAGGCAGGGTTCCCAGCGGGGCAGTCAGGAAGGAGATGGGGGGTTGGATGGGTCGGTGTTATACCAACAAAATAAAAACCAGCAGGATCTTATTAAAGGGGAAAAGGCAAAATACCACATTTATTGTGAATACAGAAAGAATCATAGTAAGCAGTTAGTTATAGCTATAACATTCCATTCAATCTCATATTTATACACACACACACACACACACACACAGATTCTACAAGGTTGTTATCATAATTACCAGCCTTAGAGTTGCTCATACCAAGCCACTGGCGAGGTGGCCTGGACATGAGGAGGGAGCAGGGCCTTGTCAGATGCTCCTCTGATGCTCCTGGAAGTTGGTTTGCACAATCAGACCCCAAAGTTCTCACTTTCTAGAGTCCATTTTTATAGGAATTTCTTCCTATGCCAGTCTATGGGAATTGCTTCATCATGCTGTTGCTGAATCAATCAGCCGATGTCACATTCCTGACGGCTCCATGCTGCCAGATGTTATCTTGTTCTTTGGTTCTCCCATTCTTGAGGCTGTTGGGTGGATTCTAGTCTGCCCTCCGGGGGTCTTCTGTTATTTCCACTTGACGCCTTCTTCGGCTGATGGACACTGGATTCTTAGGCTGGCACCTCCCTGATCATTCAGTTACTAACCACACCAAGCATCCATCCATACATCCTCTATCTTATTTTAATCACAATTGTTAAAGTGAGATGAATACAACAGAAGGGCGGGGAGTTTCTGGGTGCTGTTTCTGTTGTTACAGAGTATTGCTTTGAGTCTCTCTCTCTGTGTGTGAGTAGTTGTTGTTTACAAAGAATTGCTTTGAGAACAGACTCTGTCTTAGAATGTACTAACACAATTGGCAGCTTGCAAGTTTCACACATAGAGGGAGAGAAACAGTACCAAAAACCAAGAGACCTCTTAATTAGTAATACCCTGGAATTTAAACTATGGGGAATCAAACTCATTTGTGATTTTAATACAGAACTTCTTTAATATGATCCAACGTCGGTGGAGGGCAGTCAGGGGCAGAGGTTCCAGGGGCAGTCAGGGGACAGGGAGGGGTGGATGGGGCAGGGGTCCTGGAGGGGGCTGTCAGGGAACAGGGGGGATTGGATGGGGCAGGAGTCCCGGGGGGAGGGCTGTCGGGGGCATGAAGCAGCGGGGGTTTGGATAGGGGGTGGGGGCTGGGCCAAGCCTGGCTGTTGGGGGAGGCACAGCCTCCCCTAACCAGCCCTCCATACAATTTTGGAAACCCGATGTGGCCCTCAGGCCAAAAAGTTTGCCTTCCCTTGTCCTATGAGATGTATCCCTGATAAATTTGATTCTCCAAGTTATTCCCACGCTTGCCAGTTTTTCTTTAACATTCACATCTGTGCATCTTTTATGGTTTGTCTCTCTCTTTGGAGTGTGCATGGGGATATATGTAGTTCTTTGTGCTGGACTGTGATTCACTAGAAATCGTAGTTCATGTTCCTTGTTAGTGAAACTGTCAAGTTAGGATTTAAAAAAAAAAAAAAAAAAACCACCACCACCTTCAAGTGCAACATTTGTAATGTGTGGTTTCTTCATCTTCCTTTTTTGTATTACGGGATATGGAGTCTGACTATCATCATTTGATTTATAACTTACTTCATTAGTTCACAGATCAGTCAGCAGACATTTGAGTAGGATGAAATCTCAAGCAGTATTTGTGCACATGTAGTATGAGTCAGGGTAACAAAGGCTTATGATATTGTAACACTGTACAGTACATGAATTTGTAAAATGGGCATGTCCCAAAAGGAATTTTAATACATTGTATAACATGAATCTAAACGATGTAACTTCTTGGGGGGGAAATCACTGAAGTAGAAGTGTGCGGGGTGGGGAAGCACATTACTATTAAATATTTATAACTGCAGTAGTTAATACAGGCTTCAATCAGCTTAGGCCCTGTTGTGTTAGACACTTTACAAATACAAAAGAAATGACAACCCCTACCCCAAAGAACATACAACCTAAAAGCTCATTCTACATTTAGTGTGTGGTTTTTGTTTGATGGAGAGGGAGGAGAAGACAGTGACAGAATGTTTAAAATAGTGCACAGATCTAAATGTATTAATCCCTCCATGAAACTCTTTTAGTAATGAATCACTTCCTTTGTTAAAGGTTGTGCTGTGCTGCAGGTCAGCTCATCAGTAAATCCACCATCACATCATGAGGCCGGTAGATTTCACTGCGATAGTGACTCAGACGATGAATTTGTAATTATTGGTAAGACTTTCAAACTATGCAGATGCAACTTGCAATGAGTCTGGATGGATTTACTAACTACTTCAGTGCCACTTTTCCAGAGCTACATGTTGCCATAGTATGTATTTTATAGTACAAACTCAGAGGTGTATGGTAAAATTTCTCTCTTGGTAATCATGCACTACTAATGGGAAGAGTTGAAATAGCTTTGCATAAGTGCTAAAACTCTATCATACATAATAATAATACAGGAGTTCATTTCTACAGCAAGAATACTTTCCACTGGTTGACATGTATATTAACGTGCATGCGCATTGTACGGGGTAGTGCCCAAAGTGTACCCACCACAGATTCCCTATATAGCCCCTGAGACACCTGAGTTCAATTCCCTGCTTTGCCACAGGTTTCGTGTGTGACCTTGGGCAAGTCATTTAGCATCTCTGTGCCTCCATTACCTATCTGTAAAAAATCTGAAAAGCTAACACAATTCAAGACAAAGACGAGAACAGTCTTACAGAAGAAAGGGACATCATCAATAGGTGGACAAATTACTGCTCTGATCTATAAAACCACCAGACAAATGGAGATCCTAGTGTCCTAGACAGCCCAGATTCAACAGAGGAGGAGGACTTTCCAACACTGCATGAAGAAGTGGAGACAACTGTGAAATCACTCAAGAATGGAAAGGCTACAAGTATTGACAGTATCCCAGCCGAACTGATGAAATTCGGAGGAGAAATAGGAATAGATGTACTTACCAAGATCTGCAACAAGATCTGGCAGACCAATGAGTGGCCCTCCACGTGGACATAGTCACTAATCATCACTCTGTCAAAGAAAGGCAATTGTGTCAAAATTACTGGACCATAAGCTTAATTAGCCATCCCAGCCAAGTGATGTTGAAAGTCATATGGAACAGATTGAAGCCACAAATGGAGAATATCATTGCTGAAGAACAAGCTGGCTTTCGTGCTGGAAGAAGTATCACAGAACAGATTTTCAATCTTCGTGTTCTATGTGAGAAGTACTTATAACACCAGCAGGATGTCTATCCCATCTTTGTTGACTTCAAGAAGGCATTGACTATGGCACGCATAATGACTGATGCCATAGATGATCACATATGGACAGTCAACACTGGGGGCCAAACAATCTCAAATCTTTGGTTTGCTGATGACATTGCCGGCCTGTCAGGTAGCGAAGGTGAATTTACCAACCTTGTGAAACGATTGGATGAAACCTCCTCAAAATATGGCATTGAAATTAGTGCAGAGAAAACCAAGCTGACGACAAACAAACATGACTGGGTCAGCTCACATATCCCTGTCAGTGGACAAGAACTGGAGACAGTGAAACAGTTTAATTATCTGGGGGAAATCATCACTGATGAAGGATCAAAGGCAGAAATTCTGGCAAGAACTGTGCAAACAGCAGTGGTGGCAAAACTAAAGCCAATTTGGAGGAATAAGAACATCTCCCTGGAAAATAACTGAAAGTTCTGCACGCACTGGTCATCTTTGTTTTTCTGTATGCGTGTGAGACATGGACTCTTACGGCAGAACTTGAATGGAAAATACAGGTAGTAGAAATGAGATACTTCCGTAAAATCCTGGGCATCTCCTACTTCGACCATGTCACTAGTGAAGAGGTCCACAACATCATCACCCAATGCACTGAGTCATATGAAGACCTCTTTTCGACCATGAAGAAGTGCAAGCTGAAGTGGTACGGCCATGTAACAAGATTATCTGGCCTATCCAAGATCATCCTCCAAGGCACAGTACAGGGGAAGAGAAGAAGAGATGGACAGACAACATAAGAGTGGACAGGAATGGACTTCGCGGATACTCATCACTGACACACAGTCATCAGGGGTGGAGACAATTGGTCGATTCCTCATCAATGACGGTGCCCCAACAACCAATGTGGTTATGGGAGTGATGATGATGATTGATGAAAATGAGATAATAGCACTTCCTTACCTGACAACGCTCTTGTGAAGATAAATATGTTAAGGATTGTCAGGTGCTCAGATACTATGATGATGGGAGCCATATAAGATCCTAAGGGCTTGTCTACACTGGCAATTTACAGCACTGCAACTTTCTTGCTCATGGGATGTGAAAAAGCACCCCTGTGAGTGCAGCAAGTTTCAGCGCTGTAAAGCACCAGTGTAGACAATGCCTCAGAGCTGGGAGCCATCCTCCTAGCACAGGGAACCACGCCCCCTGTGGAGATGGTTTTTTTTTCTCCCAGCACTGCACAGCGACCACACAAGGCACGTTAAGCTTTAGCATTGCCAGTGTAGACTAGCCCTAAAGTAGATAGAATACAATGGTAGGAGGTTTTTGCTTTTGTTGGGCTAACAAATTTTTTCTCCTTTTCTGCAGAACTTGAAGACTTGGAAAATATTGCAGCATCTCCAGATAAAAGGTAACTTTTTGTATTTCTCATAACTTAGTAAATAGCCAGGTGGCAATACTCTTCCCTGCCACATGGTACTTCTCCTAAAGAGAGGCAGGAAGGGAACATAGTTTTTGATGGCTGTGGCACAAGGGTCCTAGAGGTCATAGGTGAATCAAAGTGGGGAGAGGAGGGAGGGTGTGTGAGGAATCTTCAGGGATGTGGAAGACACAAATCTACTTATGAAATGCTGCCATTTGGCTTGCTTAATTTTCAGATTATCTTTTGATCCGGGCTGCAATTCTGCTGAAGTAACAGCACAGAAGCTATACCAAGCATTCAGGAAATGTTGGTTACAGGCAGAAACTAACATTCAGCTGTCTAGGAGCCTGAACACAACTAAGCAGAAAGTAAGTCTCTAAACAGAAAACAATGTGCTTATTATTCAGCGTGTTCAGTGCAGCTGCCTCATTGGCAAGGGGAGAAGGAGGATGCTTAATATGTGTGTTCAGGGTTTGGTTATTTTTAAGCAGTTTTGGGGGTGGGGGGAGTCTGTCTTGGTTAGAAAGCTCTAATGCCTTTAATTCAACGTAGGACAATCATGTAAATGGGATCTCTGTGAACACAGGAAGTCCTTCAAGAGTTGCTACTAAACATGACTTTGGGTATCAACGCTGTGATTGTACTGACAGCTGTTGGAGTGTTGAATGTGACACTTCATTGCATAGTCTGCAAAGCATGTTAGCATCTGTTCAGCTACTAGGTTGCAGGTTAAATTCCACACTTAAGTCTGTCTTTCTGTCTTCAATAGTATGCTAATAAAGAAAATATTCCAAAGGAACTTGAGTCTAGTGGGAATCTGGCAGAAGAAATAAAGGTCAAAGCCAAATTAAGAGGAACCACAGACTGGGCCCCACCTAGGTTTCAAATAATATTTAATATTCACCCATCACTCAAGTAAGTCTCAAGTACTTGTCTGTCTGTGGGCTAGTCATTTTGTTTCTGTTATACACTGAGCCCAGTCCAAAGCCTGTTGAGATCAGTGAAAAGATTTCTGTTGATTCACTGGGCTTTGGCTCGGAACTGTTATTCAGTACCTTGTTCTCCAGTGTCTCACTGGAAGTTGTGTAGTAATGTCTACTTTTGCTGAGTCATTATGTCCTGATTAACACTGTGTGTATACGGTTACTCAATATGGTGAGTAACTTTTTTTGAGGGTTGTGGGTAGGGTGACCAGACAGCAAATGTGAAAAATTGGGACGGGGATGGTGGGTAATAGGAGCCTATATAAGAAAAAGACCCAAAAATCGGGACTGTCCCTATAAAATTGGGACATCTAGTCACCCTAGTTGTGGGATCTTTGCTTTTTGCTCCCCTGCTGGCTCAAGACTTTTTTTTCAGCAAGCAAAAGACTGACTACGCAGAAGAACTATGAATCTCACTCTACTTAAAGTGCTGTTAAATGCACAAAGTAAATGAACAACTTTTTTTCTGCCAAATTCTGTTAAAACAACCTTGGGTGTTACTTGCAATTAATGATGGGTACAAAATGTTCAGACAAATGTGATTTTTTTTCCTGGGCTGACCGTATCCCTTTAAGCTTTCTTAAAGAAAGACTGGGGAAGTATCGCACTTCTCGCATACCATGATCTCTGGTAGCAGTGTCTGTATATTCTACAAAGATTAGCTTAGAGTTCACTGTAAAATAGCATACAGGACTTCTCTTTAACAACTGACTTCTCTTCCTACATTGTGGGTTTTTTTTGAGTAACATGATCAGACTTCCAAGTTGAAAATATTCATAAGTATTAGTGCAGGTGTCTGTCATTCTGGGAGAATGTAATTGATCAGATATGCTTTTGGATAGTTAGATTTAATTTTGTCTGTCTGTACAGGAGAGATGCCGTTGTAGCTGCACAAAACTTTACTTGTGCTGGTTGCGGAACCCCAGTAGAACTCAGTAAGTACTGAAACACAAACACAAACCCCCAGACATACCACACCAAGCAAACCCAGGTTGTTTGCCAACCTGTGTTCTTGTGTTGACATGATGCATTTTGCAGTTCTGACAATACCTTAACTAGAAGAAAACGCTCCGTGTTGGGGATGCACATAACACAGTGCACAATAGGATCATATCACCATCTGAAATGTCATTACAGCCAGAACACAACGCCTTTCTCCATCAGCTATAGGCCACTTCATAGCACTCCTACTTATCCACAGTTGGAAGTGGTGACTTTCAATAATAAAACTGGAAGCATTATTTATGACGTTGTAAAATAGCTTGACTTTTTTAAAGTGGGCTATTAGTAAAAAATAAATTCAAGTCTCCAAGCTGCAAATCATAAATCTTAATTAGAAAATACTTTTGAAATAGAATTCGTAATCCTTGCCAATTCGTACTGTCAACTGGTCTTAAAAAGAGAGGCTGTGTAAGTAGTTTTCTTATTTTTAAAGACTTGACCACAAAACCCTGTTGGAGTTATAAAAATCTTTGGGATACTTTTTTCACAAACTGCTTAATGCATTGTAATGTGCAGATGTATCCACTTCATCAGGTCTCATTGCATGGGAAATCTCTGAAATGAGTGTAAAGCCCTATACTAGGTCCATTATACAAAGAGAAGAACAGGAGTACTTGTGGCACCTTAGAGACTAACAAATTTATTAGAGCATAAGCTTTTGTGGGCTACATCCCACTTCATCGGATGCATAGAATGGAACATACAGTAAGATTATATATAATATATATATATATACACACACACACACATATACACACACAGAGAGATAAGTTAGAAGTTACCATACAAACTGTGAGAGACTAATTAGTTAAGATGAGCTTTTATCAGCAGGAGAAAAAAAAAGAACTTTTGTAGTTCTTTTGTAGTTTTGTAGATAATCAAGGTGGCCCATTTAGACAGTTGACAAGAAGGTGTGAGGATACTTACCTTAAGGAAATAGATTCAATATGTGTAAGGACCCAGCCACTCCCAGTCTCTATTCAAACCCAAGTTAATGGTATCTAGTGTTCATATTAATTCATGCTCAGCAGTTTCTCATTGGAGTCTGTTTCTGAAGCTTTTCTGTTGCAAAATTGCCACCTTTAAATCTTTTACTGAGTGGCCAGAGAAGTTGAAGTGTTCTCCTACTGGTTTTTGAATGTTATGATTCCTGATGTCAGATTTGTGTCCATTTATTCTTTTGCGTAGAGACTGTCCGGTTTGGCTAATGTACATGGCAGAGGGGCATTGCTGGCACATCATGGCATATATCACATTGGTAGACGTGCAGGTGAACGAGCCTCTGATGGCGTGGCTAATGTGATGAGGTCCTGTGATGATGTCACTTGAATAACTATGTGGACAGAGTTGGCATCGGGCTTTGTTGCAAGGATAGGTTCCTGGGTTAGTGTTTTTGTTGTGTGGTGTGTGGTTGCTGGTGAGTATTTGCTTCCAGTTGGGGGGCTGTCTGTAAGCGAGGACTGGTCTGTCTCCCAAGATCTATGAGAGTGAGGGATCATTTTTCAGGATAGGTTTTAGATCTTCGATGATGCGCTGGAGAGGTTTTAGTTGGGGGCTGAAGGTGACAGCTAGTGGCATTCTGTTATTCTCTTTGTTGGGCCTGTCCTGTAGTAGGTGACTCCTGGGTACTCTTCTGGCTCTGTCAATCTGTGGACTCCTCCTGAAGGTCGAAACAACAGACTGGACTTCTACATAGATTGTGCACATCGACGTGCACAGGCTGAAATGCGGAAAAGCAGCATCACTTGCCCCGTAACCTCAGCCATGCTGAACACAACCCCATCAACAGCCTCAGGAACAACTCTGACGACATAATTAAAAAGGCTGACAAAGGAGGTGCTGTCATCATCATGAATAAGTTGGAATATGAACAAGAGGCTGCTAGGCAGCTCTCTAACTCCACATTCTACGGGCCATTATCCTCTGATCCCACCGAGGATTACTAAAAGAAACTACACCATCTGCTCAAGAAACTCCCTGAAAAAGCACAGGAACAGATCTGTGCAGACACATGCCTAGAACCCCAACCTGGGGTATTCTGTCTGCTTCCCAAGATCCATAAACCTGGGAATCCTGGACGCCCCATTATCTCAGGCATTGGCACCCTGACAGCAGGACTATCTGGCTATGTGGACTCTTTCCTCAGGCCCTACACTACCAGCACTTCCAGCTATCTTCGAGAAACCACTGACTTCCTGAGGAAACTATAATCCATGGGTGATCTTCCAGAGAACACCCTCCTGGCCACAATGGATGTAGAAGCCCTCTACACCAACATTCCACACAGAGATGGACTACAAGCTGTCAGGAACAGTATCCCCAATAATGTCATAGCAAACCTGGTGGCTGACCTTTGTGACTTTGTCCTCACCCACAACTATTTCACATTTGGGTACAATATATACCTTCAAGTCGGCAGCACTGCTATGGGTACCCGCATGGCCCCACAGTATGCCAACATTTTTATGGCTGACTTAGAACAATGCTTCCTTAGCTCTCGTCCCCTAAGACGCCTACTCTACTTGCACTACATTGATGACATCTTCATCATCTGGACCCATGGAAAAGAAGTCCTTGAGGAATTCCACCATGATTTCAACAATTTCCATTCCACCATCTACCTCAGCCTAGACAAAACCACACAAGCGGTCCATTTCCTGGACACTACTGTGCTAATAAGCGATGGTCACATAAACACCACCCCATACCGGAAACCTACTGACCGCTATGCTTACTTACATGCCTCCAGCTTCCATCCAGGACACACCACACTATCCATTGTCTACAGCCAAGCTTTAAGGTACAACTGCATTTGCTTCAATCCCTCAGACAGAGACAAACACCTACAAGATCTCTATCAAGCATTCTTAAAACTACAATACCCACCTGCTGAAGTGAAAAAACAGATTGACAGAGCCAGAAGAGTACCCAGAAGTCACCTACTACAGGACAGGCCCAACAAAGAAAATAACAGAACGCCACCAGCTGTCACCTTCAGCCCCCAACTGCCATGTACATTAGCCAAACCGGACAGTCTCTACGCAAAAGAATAAATGGACACAAATCTGACATCAGGAATCATAACATTCAAAAACCGGTAGGAGAACACTTCAACTTCTCTGGCCACTCAGTAAAAGATTTAAAGGTGGCAATTTTGCAACAGAAAAGCTTCAGAAACAGACTCCAATGAGCTTGAATTAATATGCAAACTAGATACCATTAACTTGGGTTTGAATAGAGACTGGGAGTGGCTGGGTCCTTACACATATTGAATCTATTTCCTTAAGTATCCTCACACCTTCTTGTCAATTGTCTAAATGGGCCACCTTGATTATCACTACAAAAGTTTTTTTTTTCTCTCTTTTTTCTCCTGCTGAGAATAGCTCATCTTAACTAATTAGCCTCTCACAGTTTGTATGGTAACTTCCAACTTATCTGTGTGTATGTGTGTATATATACATATTATCTTACTATATGTTCCATTCTATGCATCCGATGAAGTGGGATGTAGCCCACGAAAGCTTATGCTCTAATAAATTTGTTAGTCTCTAAGGTGCCACAAGTATTCCTGTTCTTTTTGCGAATACAGACTAACACGGCTGCTACTCTGAGACCTGTCATTATACAAAGAGAGGCACTCGCTCATGACTGGCAGAACAAAATTAATATTTGAGTTGACATCAAAGACTCAAAGAATCATTAACAATAACTGTGCAAAGGAATTAGTGAGGTTACACCTGTAACCACAAGCCCCAGTCTTGAACTTGTTTTGGGGAAGCAGCCAACACTGTTTCCAATAAGGATCTGTGTAAATTTTGATGGTGATATAACTATGATCAGTCTTGCAAAAGAGGTTTCCATATTTAATTCAGAATATTAAATCTGACCACGAGTCTACCTCTTCAAAAAACAAGACTTCCCCCTCCGCCCAGCCCAGCCCATTTTTCTGTAGATCTGAATTATGTATTACTGGATTGACGCAGTTAAAAGGCAATACAGTAATTCTTTAAAGAACCATTCTTCATTGTTGACCCGCCACAGAATACATCAGGAGACTCCGCTATTGTGATTACCTGGGGAAGTACTTCTGTGACTGTTGCCATAGCTATGCACAAACTTCCATCCCTGCCCGAATATTGATTAAATGGGACTTCAAAAAGTACTATGTCTGTAACTTCTCCAAACATCTCCTGCTCAGCATATGGCAAAACCCCATCTTCAATGTGTCGTGTATCAACAAAACCCTCTATACAAAAGCAAAGGAACTGAACAGAGTCAGGGTAAGTGCAGCTTCTTTGTAATTGAAGTGTGTGGCATTGTCCTGCACGCTGCCAGAAGAAAGACTAGACCCCAGGAATCTGGTTTAATTAGGTTGCTGCCTTATTAAGTAACATATCTGGGCACTATCCGGTAATAACTCATCCAGTGCAAGCGATTCTTCATTTGTTACCTGTAGCACCTGAGGGCAGGAGGGCTGCTACCTGCCTCCCTTTTCTCCCGCTGTTCCAATCCACCTGCTGGGACCCCACCGCTATCGACTCTGATGAGGGTTAAAGGGATGGGGAAGAGGGGGTTTTAGGAGCCTCAATCCTATTGCCCACCTTGTTTAAGAGATGTCCAGTTTATCAGGGAATAGGATGCCCTATTGAACAAGTACCTGCCACCAGGAGAGACCAGCAGTTAGATTGGCTGCCTCTCTCTGCCCATGAAGCAGCTGTGTCTGGGCCAGCAGGAGAAAGAAAATAGTTGGCTCCTCTAAGGATTTCACACTCCCCCTCCCCTTCTTGTGGGCACACTGACCTCCCTGTGGGTTGGGAAGTGGAGGTGGCTCTGTGGCTGACTGGTTGGACAAAAGGGTGCAGCACAAGTCTATTGGCTCTTGTGAACCCAAGGGAAGGGCTTATAAACTCTTCCCCCTGCCCTGGGGCATAGCAATTGGTTTTATCTAGTCTTTGATCCTGCAGGAACAACCTGCAGCTTCAGGTTGTATGTTTTGGCCATGCATACGCATTTGTGGGGTAGGCCTTTTGGTGCATTATATAGCTGATCTGTCTAACCTTCTGCTGTATTTTTCCTAATTTTAAACTAAAACTGCTCTGTGGTGAAATGCTAATTTTTAAATATTACTGTCTAAATTACTGCTCTTAAACACTTCTGAATGTTTAAATATGCTGCTCTGCTTTTCATTTTAAATACTACATTTATCTACCCTTCATCCTTTAGGAGATACAAGAACAGCTTTTGCATATTAAAAAACTACTGAAAACCTGCAGGTTTGCTGAAAGGTATGGAGCATGATTAAGTATAGCAAATACTTGGTAGAAGTACAATAGTTATTCATGGAGCTTCCCCCTCCAGATGAATTTTTAATCATGTACTTTTTAAGGAAGTTAGTTCTGTATGATCAACAGAAATTCTGATATCGTCTTCCTTTCCCCTGCAAATTTATCTATTGCAAATTTATTTATTGCAAATGTCAAGTGATAGTGTATTTTATAAGGCAGCTTGTTTTTTCCCCAGTACCATTGTAGAAACACTTATGAGACTTGATTAATGATTCGATGTGTGTAATAATTTTTGGCAGATTTTTTTCTTTCGTCCTTCTGATACTATTCCTCTTGGAGGAACAATGTGAGTGTCCTTGCTCAGCAATGTAATGTCTGTTCAAAGTTTTTCTAAGGTGACTAGAGTGGTTATTCCATATGTTGCTCAAATCATGGCTCTTTAGTAGACTGTATTCATTCCATCTTCATTAACTAATGACACAAAACAAGCTGTAGAAAATGTGCATATTCTGCCTGAGTTAGGCAGCTCTGATTACTTTCTTTCATTACACAATCAGCCTAACTTCTCTGTGGCTTTAGGGAACATTGGTGGGTTTAAAGAAAAGCAAGATGTTCTTCCAGGATATGTTGTTGTTTTTTGTCTAAATCAATGCTTGCCTGCAATGCTTAATGTAGTAACTATAAAATGGAAAAATAATGGACCTTTGTTTTGCACCTGCAATTAGTCGTGGGTGCAGATGATAGCACTTGGACACTGAGCTGAGTTCTGGGTAAGACATTTAAATGCTATCACTTACACCCACAGAATTAGAGGTCTTTTATAAACCAGGCAAGTAAATAAGAAAATAAATTAGTAAAATTACCAAAAAAAAAAAAAAAAAAGTAAATGTTTAGTCTCTCTCTCTCTCTCTCTACCATGGGGCTAGGGACAATAATGATTCAATGACTGATGAAAATATTATTGTCAAAACTAAGCATTTTTGATGCACTCTTTCTCCATCCAATTATGGTTAGCAAATGAAAGTTAAAATGCACAACAATAGTGCTCCTCTTGCGCTTGCTGCAATGGCTGAATAGTCTAAAAGGCTTTTTAACACTCTCACCACCAAACCCCCCCCAACCACATCAGAACCCAACAATCACTTACTTCTTTTTGTGTGCATTCAAATAGTAAGCGGCTGATGCTGTTTCTGTGTGAGCATTCTGCGGATGATCAGTGAACAGGTGGGGTTATTGCATATGACGAGATTCATGCCTCCACAATTGAGAACAGAATTTTTTTTAGTTTGAATACTTATTGAACTCAAACTTTGGGAGAAAAAGCTATGTTAAATAATGACCCCCATACACCCTCACCCACAAGCCAAGAAAGTTCTCACTGTAGCCTTCCAACAAACACTCCAGCAGAAACTGGGTAGGCAAGACTTAATAGCCTTTCTTCTACGGTTAGTTAAGAAGCAGGAAAATTTTTTTTATAACTTTCAGGCTTTTTGCAAAATTCACAAGTGCCCTTTAACTCAGTTCTGCTGTGTATAGAGGTATCAATTTTATGTTCTTCCTGGTTGATGAGACTTGGCTGTCTCCACTTACTTACATGTTTTGATAAACATGCTCTCAATAAACATGTCACTTTGTAATTTAATTTTTTTTTTTTTAATCTGTAGTGTATTGAAAGAATTTGAACAGGTCTCCAGCCACCTGACGACAGAGCTGCATCTGTTCTCAATGGATGACTTGGTGAAGATTAAACGAGGGCTGTTAGTGCCTCTTCTCAGGGATATTCTAAAAAGCTCCACATCTCATGTAGAAAACTGCAAGGTAAGGGAATCGCTGTCTCTGGTATATAGCCTGAAGAATAGCCACAACTGACCATATTTTTTTTTTATAAATATGAACTTTTAATAAACATCAAAAAAGTAATTAACTCTTTTTCAATTCTTCTAGCTTTGTCAAGCCAAGGGATTTATTTGTGAATTTTGCCAGAGCTCAGATGTACTCTTCCCATTTCAGACTGCCACATGCAAAAGATGTACAGGTATGTTCCATCCCAAAGCTATTTCTTTCTTGTGAGAAAATGTGTGTGTGCATGTATAATATTTCAGGCCCCGAATCTGCAAGGTACTTAAGCATGTGCCTAATTGTAAGCATGTGAGTAGTCCCACTGATTTCAAACTCTCTTGTCTCAGTGAGTTTATTGTATATTTGAAAACTTGGATGTGTTGTCTGCATGTAAGTTAAAACAAAATTCAAGTGTGTTCTTGGTATGGGTTTACATATCTCAGTTTGAGTTTGAAATAGCAAATGTAGTGCTGTTACATCAGATTTTTCTGGACCTAATCCAGTGCCCATTGAAGTCAATGGAAAGACTCCAATTGACCTCAAGGTTCATTGGCTTGGGATCAAAATATGGAATTAACCTTGTTACATTGTGCTTCATTGTCCTGGTCATGAGTCTTCTTCAGTTACTTTCGTATCGGGATAAACTACCATCTTTCAAGGAATACAATTATTGATGCAGTTTTCCCCACCTGCTTGTGTGTGTAAACAGTTTGCAAAGCGTGCTTCCACAGTCAGTGTTTCAAGTCTGGAGAGTGCCCCAAATGTCTGAGAATAGCTGCTCGGAGGATGTTTTTGGAAGCTCCATCTGTGGCTATGTGAGACTGGATTACTATGAAGAGGCACACAATTTTCTGTATATACCTCTGAAGAAACTAGATACAGATATATATGCGTCTGTCTACAGGGTGGATAATGTTGTTTTAAACATTGGTATTTTTAAATCATCCTGCCATGCTAACATTTTGTAATGTGACTTTTTAAAAAAAGAATAACGTTTTAATATTATGCTTGAATACCTGTCCTGACAGAAAATAGTTTTTAATGTGATCAGTTTAAGTGTATGCCATCATTAATATTTTGCTGCTATTGGTTTTTTACTCTTTCTGTTTCTGAATTTGTTTTTATTGTTGTTGTTGTTATTTTATATTTGACAAGTTGACAGTTCCCATATGTAACTTTGCATGCAATGTAGAGACAATAAACAAGGTTGAAAAACTCTTTTAACCCTGTCAGATTTTTATTACAAGCAAGAGGTGATAAAATGTGCAGAATTTTTTCTCCTCTTTGAAACAATACTACAGAAATGCCTTGACTTCCAAGTTTGATTAAAAAAAAAAATGAACCTGAAAATGTTATCCTGGTAAGCATCCTAATTCAAAATGGTGGATCAGTTTTGTTTTAAAAAGAGACCTGTACTAACCTCTGGGGCAGCACTTTCCAACCTGAGAGATGCCAGGCTACTTGGGGAGGGCATGTAGAGAGAGAGAGATACATGACCCTGAATCCACTCTGTCCAACGCTGCAGGCTTGCTGACTTCTACAGGCCAAGTACTGGGTATCTCTTTGAAAACGGACTGCTTTCCTCACCTGCTCCTGCAGATGCTTCTAACGAAGCCAGCCGTGGAAGTGGCTCATGCACTCAGAAGTGCTGAGCTATTGCCTGAACCTATATCACTCACTCCTACTCCTGTGGCACTTGCCTCAGTGTGGTGACAGCACACGTGGTTCAAGCTTCACTGCAATAGCAACGGACACCCACTGACCGAGACCCCCAACATTTACAGGAGGGGTTACTGTAGACATTGATCTGGAGAACATGTCCCAAAGGTACTTTCGCCCTAGCTAAATGCCTTTAAGACACTGGATCTGCTTCTGTCATTCAATGTCTAATTTCCTATGGGACTTTCAAACACCCTTCCCCTTAAATATCCATTCAAACACTAATGCTGTACTAAAAGAGAATGGGACTCTGAACCTGGTAGCTGTTGCGATTCACTTCCAAGCTGAAAATCTTTCACAATACACATTACAAGTTCTCATATACAGTTCTTATCTTCCTGTAGCTGGAAACAAAATGTAACTGCTTATTGCATAGATGTAAGATTATCATCGATGACTGTTATGTAAGATCTGCAAACAGACATGAAACTGCTGAGAAGTGAGTGACGTCAGATGGTGAGACACCTAGAGTTGGCTACATTTAATATGATGCAAGTGTTAGTTGCTGCATCTGAACGCAAAACTGAGTAAGCCACATTAATGGATTTGCTATAGGGATTTACATTTTATGAAAGAAGTTGCCTTAAGCCCTGTATAGAACAATTTGCAGGTCTACTGGGTTTGTTTAAATAAGGGGAAAATGTTCGCTTAAGCTTTATTTGGTTGTGTGTGCTTTCCATGAATAATCTAATGAATGAGTTTTCTCACCACAAATGTTTGCAGAAAGAGGAATGTTAAAATGAGTTTTTGTGCATGTGCACACAAATAATCTATGCTAATTTTAATCAGGCTGGTTGAGTACCACTTGAATCATCTGACCAATCATTGCTAAGCATCACCACTTGAATTCAAACTTATCAAAAGTTGAGTTTAAAAACAATAAAAAACCTTTGAATAAATTTGAAAATCACAAGCTACTTGTGGACAGCTTGTGGAGGGGGAGGGGGTAAACGTGTTTTAAAAAGCATTACAAGTTTTTTCACTTAGCCTATTTATTATATAACTACAGAACTTTCATATCCTACAGTTCTCCTCTTCCCTTCATCTTTCTTGTTCTTTTGGAGCTGCTGAAATTCTGTAGTGGACTGACACATACCTCAATCCGCTGTAGTATCCTGGCTCGCCTGCTTGGTGGAAGCGCAGACCCAAATAAATGGTCTATTTCTTTAAATTAAAAGTGTGTGTGTGTCTGGGGATACAGCCTGGGTCTTTCATTCTTCGATGTTAATTTGGCCATTCATAGGCCCTGTAAAGTTCTCCAGTGGTCAAGGGTGTCTTTGGCACCCTACAGTGTTTATAATTTGTCTTGTTGGGAATTGACTGTATATGGGGCTGCTTTCAACAGTATGAAACCCTACTGAAATATTTGTGTCTGTTCACAGCCCTAGTGTCGAAGAGTTGCTGGAACAGGTAGCGCCAACAGGACATTATGCCCTAAGAGCTTCGCAAGAGTTTGGTAAATAGTCATTTGTCTCTTGGCCAGGGCCAGAATGAGGCTTTTGGGGAAGCTAAACTAGCATGAGGCAGTTTGTTTAGTGATGGCTGGTTGATAGGATGCGTTTTCTGAGGGGGGCTGCTCAAGTAAACCAAGTATACTTTTTTGCTATTGGTATTTTGAACCCAAAGAAACAAAGCAGTGAAATGGAGAATGCCACCATAGTAAACCCCAAATGTTGCTGCCGTGTTCGAGAGACAAGACAAAATAAGAAAAGGAGGTAGCAGTAGGTGATGTGAAGTAACATGGAAAGAGGGACTAGGGACTGAAAATGCCCAGTCAGCTGTCTGTGGAGCATGTGAGCTGAAAGTACTTCATTTTAACCTGTCCTGAGTGTCATTAACTTATCCCATTACAAACTGTAAAACGTAGACTTACATGACCAGGCATACCTCGTTGTAATCCCCGCTGTGCACCACAGAAGGTGCCAAGAGGTTTGTCGCCGCTCTGCACAAGGTTATAGAGGCTGTTGTGACATAAGTGTTTGTACTGAGGAAGCTCCGCTGCAGAAGCTGCCACCAAGAGATCAAGACTCCAGTGCTGAGGGGCATGTAAACTGTGCTTGGCCCAATGCAGAGGAAGCTGGGAGGGATGTTCAACAGTGGTCAGTTGCCACCTCTATGGGCCCTGGATTCTGGCAGCACTGGGGCCTGTTCTAGGCCCTATCGTAGTGGTCCACTCTGGCAGCTGAGAATAACCTGAACACAACAGGCCGCTTGCCCCCCTTTCCCATGCTCCATTCCCAAACTAGGGGACAAGGTAAATCCTCTGTGCCAGCAGGGGATTCCTCTGGCAGCAGAGGAGTTCCCAGACAGCTGTGGGCATATAGCAGCTAGAACAAGACTGAAAATGGTGCGTTGTGTATCTTATTTGGGGATAACATTGGAAAATGTTTGGCTTGGACAGAAGGGTCCAAGGCATTAGCATGGGTCTGTGGGCATTAGGACCAGGTGTTGTCTCCATTTCCCCTGTCATGTGGGCTTCAGAGGAAAGCCTCTACAAAGAGCCAGCAGACACTTCAGTTGCAACAAATGTGATTGATGTGGCTGGTTAATATCCTGTTACACATTTCAGTTCTCTTTTCACAGTGCCAGTACAGATTAACTGGAACTGCAGAAGTGCAATGACTGACACCTTTGAATGGGATATTATTACTAAATCACAGCATAAGGGTTGCTCTGAAGCAATATGGTAACTGAATGCACTGGAGCAGAATATCACCCCTTCCCCTCTGCTCATAAAAGGAACTGTAATGGGGTGTACCGGTTCTTGATGCCTAAAGGGAGCCAGAAGATGCCCTCTCAAGGGGGTGTTGGTGTGATCCTAGGCTCAGGAAGCAACCAAAACCAGAAGAAAGGCAGTGTTCCCGAGGAATTAACAGTGGGATGGGAAGATCCCAGGACACTGTTACTTTAAGGGTCTGGAATCTGAAGCCCTGTAGTGGGGGCAGGGCACCCCCCTTTCAGCCAATCAGGAGGGTTGCTCAGCAGGAGAGTAGTATAAATGCCAACTTTTCTCTCAGAGCAGGACATGTGCTGACTGAGGAAAGAAGGCAGAGCTGGAAGGCTAGACTTCTGCTGGATAGAATAAAGGCTCTGTTGTAATCAGGAGCATTGGACATGGGTTGGAACTATGGGGTTACTGTGTTTGTGTTTGGGACACTGAGGATTATTTTGGGCTACTGACCCAGTTTCAGGGGAGGTCTGGTGGTAGCCTTGAGAAAGACTACCCAGTGCTTCCAAGGGGCACGGAAGAGAGGGGGAAGATGGAGTGTGCCATTGAAACACCTCTGGCCACAAGGGGGAGCCAGGTGAATGGTGTCCCTGCTATGGAAGCCACCGCTAAAGTCAATGTCATGCTGGGGATTCCCCCAGCCTGGGTGTGTGGCAGCAGAGTTGGCTTTTGCTGCCCTCTCTGAAGCCCCAGTGCAGGCTGTGGGGCAGAGGTGGGAAGGGGCATGGCAGAGGTGCGGGAACAGCCAGAGCAATTCTTAGCTCGCAATGGTCTCTTAGGAACTACGGCAAGTTTATGTAGGCTAGAGCAGTGCTACTTAAAGTGGTGATCCGTGGACCGGCACCATCGGCTGCCGGTCTGCGCGCACATTGGGAAAAAAAAATTGCCGGTCCTCCACATCAGCTAGCTTGAGAAGCGCTGGGCTAGAGAATCCCGTGAAAATCAGTGTCAGTTCTGAGCCCAGCGTAACGAGGGCACAACAGAGAATCTGGCCCACAGTGACTGGGATTTGTCAGGGACTTTAATAAACAGTGAGTGGAACGTGCTGCTTCAGGGCCAACGCAATGCTTAACTTCAGTCTCTTAATAATTTGCATATTTAGTGACATTTCCAAAGAGCAAGGCATAAACACGTTGCTAGCAGTTGTAGAGATGCAGGAAAGCAGAAGTAACTGCACAGCTGTCCTGAGAAGCTTCCTCTTTCAGAACCAATATCTGTCTGGTTAACTCCTTGTCTTCCCCTTTTACAGGGTGAATGTGCTTGAAAGTGTGGTTTTGAATTCGGCATGTGTCTTCTTTTATTAGTAACACACTGACTCAGAAGGTGGTGCTCAAATCCCAGTTTGGTTAGGCTCGGGTTTGGATTTTGAAGCTGAATATGGGCTAGGGTTTGGGCTTTAATGGTACTGAAATCTTGGAGCTGTTCTAATGAGATTTTGGCTCAAAATGAGAGTGGCTGTTCCAGCTTGTGAGATCTTGGCTGCATTTAAGAATATAGTTCAATATAACATAGTTCAAGATTTGCATCCATCTGCAACCAAGTCCACAGGTGTTGGTTTGGTTCTGGGGATTGTAACTGTTCCTCTGCAAAACACTTGGTTCTAAAATTCTCAAAGGACTATACAGTTAATGTTCTATTTCTGACCCCCTTTAACAAGTAGCAGCCTTGTATTGATGTAGCTCTGACATTCCCCATCTGCTTTAATAGTTTAAATAGGAATCACTTCACTATTATAATGAAGCTACTTCTAGGCTG